TGAAGTCCTACCCTAGAGGCTGACGATACCCAAAATGCTTTTAAGTCAATAATTTACTCATAGAAGCTTGGGTCTGGAAGGGACCATAGAAGTCATTTTGTCTGACCTCCTCATTTTATAGATAAGGATTCTGAGTCCCAGAAAGAAGTGAGTTCTTCAAGGTCATATAGGAATTTCTGGAGATCGAGGATTAGAATCCTGCCTGACACCAAGTCTAGTGCTCTTCCTATTACAACTCATGGATATCCGAGACCAAATCTTTATGAATGTTTTTAAGATCCCCTGGCCCAAGAGCAAACCTCCCTTCTCCACCTCATCCTTTCCATTTAGTCTATGGCAGTAGTCATACTGGTCATATCTTTGCCATGACATTACCCCTTAGGCAGGCCCCAATCTGAACTTGTATCCTGTGATGCAATGAGTCTTCTGGCAGAGGGGGAGGCTTCTGAAGCCCCAAACTTTCCTATACCTAGGCATCTCTCAAATAAGAGAGTTGATTGACTTGGGTGGGAAAGATAATCTGGTAAGTCTGATTTCTCCCAGCTTCCTCTTCTTTTGCCTTACTCTCATCCTGACACCTCTCACCCTCCTGGCTTTCTCTCTCTAGGTTACTTCACCAGGCTTTCTTTTACCCTTTGATCTTGAATTTTTTCTTTTTGTTTCCCTGGGACTGGAAAAGGTATGGCCACAGAGGAGTCTCTGAACCTTATCCTCATGTCAGGCTTTGTCAAACTGCCATCTCCTACTGTTTTTCTATGTTCCATGGATAAATCTCTGGCTTGAGCCAAGAAAATGAAGTGAGGGCAAGGAAGGTAAGGGTGGAATGCTATGACCTTACCTAAGCACTGGTGGGGGAAGGAGCCTTAAGGTTTCTAGGGGAAAGGGCTGGCTGAATCCATCCCTTTCCAATAGACCCCCCTTTGTACCCATTCTTTCTTCCAATTTCATACCTCCTCATGTCTCCCCAGTCCCCGTCAGGTTCCTCACTAGTCCTAGAAAGCACAACCTGAGGGCTTAGTGCAAGATGAGATAGGAAGGCTAGGTTTAAAAGAAAAGGTTAGAGACTAGAATTCCTGGGTCCAATTTTTGACTTAACTGTGTAACCTTTCATTTACTTGCCCTCTTCTGGGTCTTATTTTTTCCAGCTAAATAATGGTAAAGACAACAAGATTTTCTGGGAATTGTTAGGGGAACATTCATTTATCTGAAACCCTAGGGGGATGGGGCAGAAAAAAGAGGTTTGTCAATGGTCAATTAGTGTTCTAAACTGGATCATTTTTTCCCATCCCTAGGGCTCCTAGGGTGAAGCAATGAGGAGACATATGGAGGCAGGGTACTAGGGAAGAACACTTTGAACTCATCACTATGACTAGGGCAATAAATAAAAGGTAAAAGAAGATTGGCTGAGTATGAACATGGTGGAAAAGGACCACGTGATCAGAATAGACCATAAAGTCAACATTAGCTAGCACAGCCTCAAAATCTTCTCCCTGGATAATGCTTTAAACTTCATATCATGAACACTTAACTCAGAACTAGACATCAAGATGCTTCCAGGAGTAAAAAAAGAAGCAGATTGTTATAAGAACTGGGGGGCAGGAAGAGGTTTTGTAGGTACCCAGTTGTATGAATATTTGCCTCTTTCCACCCCTGGAAAGTCTCCAAAATACCTGGAATGGATTTGGTACACATCTACCTCGAGTCAGAATGATTAAGATGATGTTGGAAGTCTTTCTTCCCTCTCTAATCCAGTATTTCTTCAACTTCTTCCAGGTCAGGCTGAATAGTTTTAGCTGAAAGCTACCATAATCTGTGGGAACATTCTCATTTTATGGAAACATTTATTTCTCACTGCCTTGGAATCTTTCTCATTTCTCTGAGACTCCTTTCATTCCCCCAAGACCCTTTTCACACCCTCTTCTCCCTTCCCCCTTCCAATATCTGCCAGCTGTTCATTAAGGTAGCAAAAGTAGCAATTCAGCCTGAGTCCGATATTTGGAAAAAAGGGCTCTTTATACATGGAGCATAAGTTTATTTCATGTCCATAACTTATATTACATATATGGACCATGGGCTTTTATACCTGTTATCCAATACAAAAAAAGCCTGAAATTTTCCATTGGCAGAAATAGGAAGTTCAGAATCCCTTTCATTAACCTGCTTCTCAGCCCCAAGATATTTCTCCTGTATGCTCTACAGAAGAGGGATTGTGGTGTAGTAGAAATAATACAAGATCAGGAATCAAGAACCCTCAGTTCTAGTCCTGATTCCTATGTTTTCTTGAATAAGTCATTTCCTCTCTCTAGGCCTCAGTTTCCTCCCCTGCAAAATGGGGGAGGTAGGCTGGGACTATATGATCTTTAAAGTTTCTTCAAGCTCTGATAGTCTATTATTTTAAGCTCTGACTCACTGTCAACTCCAATAGGGTAACGGGGTCCAGGTAAAAGACTAGTGGGGTGTGTCATGAAGAGTCTGACTCCCATGTCCTACTCTGCCCTTCTGTCCAAGCTTCCTCTGTCCCTTCTTGAAGTGCTGATTCCTTTTGTTTTTTATAGTAATCCACTTTAGGGTGCTCTCTGGATCTTGGGACAAGCAAAAACTAGTCCTCATCACCCTGTTGTGGAAGAGAAGGAAGGGTAAACTTCTTGCTGAAGATCCCCTTGCTTAAGAGCTGAAGCTCATCCTTATTTTATACACCACCTTCCCAGCAATCCTAGGAGGCTGGAGGTATGATGGAACTTCCAGTCCAGGATCCTAGATTTAGAGCTGGAACGGACCTTACAGATCATCTAGTCCAATTCCCTTACGTTACAGATGAAGAACCAAATTTGAGAGAGTTTTAAGTAACTTGCCCAAGGTCATACAGGTGGTAACAGAGGTGCTCTCACTAAATCCAGCACACTTCCCATTGCATCAAACCCAGCTCCTCCTCCCCTCTGCCTGTCTGCACTTCCTCAGACTCTAGGATTGGTGGAGGCCCGAAGGAGAAGATGAATGACCTGAGTGCCCTAATCCCTGCCCATGCAGAGGGAGATCAGGGAAAGTTAATTTCTATCCCAGCTGTCAGACAGCTGGGGCTGATAGTGACCAAGGACAGCAGGCACTTCCTAGGCTTGTCAGTCAGTAGGTTAAGGTTTGAAGGAAGGAAAGGCTAACACCAGAAAGATCCCCAGGATACAGACCTTGACTACTAGGCAGTCAAGCCCTGATCAGACCAAGCTGTGTGAGGTCTGGCCCCATTTCTGGCCACAAAGTCTTTCAGCACTACAGGGATAGGGAAATATATCCATAGATGGCTTGCAGGGTTTTTTTTAAAGAGATTGCAGGGACATTAGAGATCATCTAGCTCAACCACCTGATTTAAAAGAGGAAGAAACTGAGGTCCACAGAAAGGAAGTAATTTGCCCACTGCCAATTGACTAGAAAGTAGCATAGCTGGGACCAGAACCCAGCTTTTCCAATTCTACATCCAGAGCTCTTTCCACTGTATTTCTAAATCCCAGACCAAGGAGTAATGGTAGAATTCATCATCTGGCTGACCCTAGATCCCTGCTCCAAGTCCCCCAACTCAAACATTGACTATCTGGCCCCATCACCTAAAACTCAGAGAAATCTAGAATTGGAGAGAGCCTTAGAGATGATCTAGTTCAATGCTCTCATTTTTACAGAGCAGGAATTGAGGCTCAGCATGACCCTACCCTTTCCTCCTCTCCCCTATACTCCAACAGAAGTCCTGACCTTACCATCTTTTCTGTAATAGAGGATCTCCAGCTTGCATTCCTCAGCACCCAGCAGAGCCTGTGCCAGTTGGGACACATCACTTGGTAGGGTGTCAGGGCCAGTGAGGAAGTCACAGGTACAAGGTCGCTGCATCACTTCCACTCGGGAGTAGCCGAAGAGCTGGCAAAACCCATCATTGCAATAAATGATGGCGCAGTTCTCTATCTGGGCATTGGCGATCAGGAACTTTCGGCCTAAGAAGTAGGAGGAGGTCAGTGGTTGGGACCGAGGTTGGGGTTAATAAATGGGACAGGGAGAGGGGCAAGGGAGCGGAGGATCAAAAATGGGGGGCTTGTGGGTATCAGCCAGATTGGAATCAATAAGTAGTGACAAGAAATAAGTGTCAGGGACTGATGGGAAGACGGTGGGGAGCAGGGATGAAGGGTTTGTTAGGAGAGAGAAATGTGGGAGTTATAGGATCCCTCAGAGGGGCTATAACAGGTCCTGAGAAAAGAGGAAAGTGGACAGGGACAGGACAAAGACACTGTTCTTATGCATGATGCCTACTGAATAATAAATATTTGTTGAATTGAACTGTAACAGATTACATTTTGTTCTATTGAAAAAGAAACAATTGAGCAGAGAAAGGAGAGTCCTGTTTATCTGCTCTCCACACCTGGGGAAAGAGCTTAGGGGTGATAGTGCGTAGAGAAACAGGATAGATTGCTGGTAGGTTGATGCGGGGGTTTCAAGAGCTTGAAACAGGAAGCATCCCACCTGCCCCCACACCCACTCAATTGGAAGAGTTGTAGAGAGCACCCCAGAACACAGAGCAATCCTCTCCTGCTCTCCCCTTTCACTGTTCTTCACCTTTTGGAACTTTCCCAAACCTCTCATTCTTCTTGATTTCTCCTGACCCCCTTCCAGAAGACCCATCTACCCTCACAGGTTTACATGCTCTCACACACTTACTCTGGCCCTCGAACTTTCGAATGATTGTGTCCAAGTAAGTGTTCTGGGGCGCCACATGCCCCCTGCGAATCGGCATCCTTTGACTGCATGCGCCCAGGAGCCCGGAATCCCAATCCTCCAACCCCTGGCTCTCAGTCGCTGTGCCAGCACCTCCGCCTGTCCAGCGGCTGCAGGTTCCGCGACTTAGGTGGATGCTGCCTCCGAGGGGAGGGGTCTCCCTACCCCCGTCAAGGTGCAGGGGAGCTGCGGGCTTTAACCTCCACCCGCAGCTCCCCTGAGGTCCTGCCGGGTTAGCCCCACTTTACTACTCACATCAGAGGCTGAAGACAGGATGCCAAGATCCCAGGAGCTGTCCCTATCACGGTGCTGAAAGGAGGAGCTTGGGCGAGAGAAGGGGCAGGATCGTGGGCGGGACTTTTTGGCGGTAGGATATCGGGAAAGGGCTTAGAATAGGTATGTTTCCTTCCCAGACCCGCCTCATTAGGCATAATGCTTATGGTCCTGGATCTGCCTTGACCAGTCTCTGATACTTCATCTCTCTGGAAGGATTTTTGAGCAGAATGGAGAAAGATAACTTGGGGAAGGACCAGTAGTTCACAGAACCTTTGAATGTCAAGAGTTGAAAGGGACCTTAGAGATAATCTAGTCTTCTTCCTTCATTTCAAAAGAAAGGAAATAGGCCTAGAAAAAGATTTGCCCAAGGTCAAACAGCAGTCAGTAGTGAAGCTGGAACTATAATAATAGTTCATCTAGTACTTTTCTTCACAGCAATCCTGTATTTGTAAGTTGGTTTCTGTATCTATAAAATGATGTTATTGGATTAAAAGGTCTCTAAAGTTTCTAATAGCTTGAAATTCTAGAGGTAGAGGGTAAATCCCTTCTTTCTTGGTCCAGCAGCAGTTCACTGTCTAAGGTATAATCCCTTTCTCCAAACCTACACTTTGCTGAATACCTTGGGGTCATTTGGGTGAAAGAGTATGATAGAGTTACTTAACAAGCAAACAGAGTATTGTCCTGGGTTCTTTTGGGGGTCAAAGAGAGAGGCAAAAGATTCAGACTATACATTGTCCTGGAAGGGACTTCCATCCAACCCCCTCATTTTATAGACATGGAAATTAAATCTCAGAGAGATTGAGTAACTACTCAAACAAGTAGTAAATAGCAGAGCCAAAAATTAAATCCAGATTCACTGATTCCAAGTTCAGCATGCTCACCATTTCTCCCAAAAGAGCTTACATTCTAATTACATCAAAACAAGAACAATAACAAATTAACCTATCAAAAAGGCAAAATAATTTAAAAAAAAATCAACAGACTGAAAACAACTTGTTGAAGTATAAAGAAGTGGTCGGAAGAGAGTAAGGTTAATCTGAAAAAGATTTTTGGAAGCAGTCAGTTTTGAGCAAGGTGTTAGAGGAGAGATAAAAGGTTTGGGGTAGACAGGTAAAAGGGGAATTTCTTGTGATGAGAAATGCCCTAAGCAAAGGCATAGATATGAATGATGATGTTGTGTGCAGGGAACAGCAAGAAGATTATTTTTTTAAAAAATGAAAGTGCTGGTCTGGAGAGCTGGAGGTGATAATGAAGAGATAAAGGACCATTCAATGGAGGATCCTGAATGTCAGTGACAGCTGTGCAATGTATATGCCTCACCAGATATCATCTCAGTCATCCTGATCTGTATCTTGCCACTAGCTCCAGATGACTCTAGAGGAGAAAGTGAGGCTGATGACTTTGCACAGCCCTCCCTTATTTAAATCCATTTCACTTGCAAGTCATGGTGTCTTCTTGATGTCATGGTCCTTTTTGAGAATGAAGGACAAACAACAACAACAATATGCCACTCCATGAAACACCTAGGGCACTGTCATAGGAACACTGCAGTATGACTGGTTCAAATTAGCTAGTGTGCTGCCTTCCTTAACCCCATAGGAAGGCCCCGTGTGTTCTGCTGATTAGTTATAGAATGTAATATGTAAATTGTTTACCAAGTAGTGCTCTCCTTGAGCTACCAGCCCAGTAGCCCCTTCAGTTCATTTTTTGGGGAATACATGGTAGTCTCCCAAGAGGCTCCCCATTGACCACTAGAGAGCACTGAGCCTGCAACCACTTATACTCATCTTGTTTCCTCCCTCTCTTTCTCTCCCCCCACCTCCTTGCATTTCCACAGCATTAAATGGAATGCTAGTTAACTGAGTCATATAAACTAGGGGATTATATGAAATATTTGCTTTCAATGATTAAAATACGAAATTGATGGTTGTAGCCCCACCTTACACCTGGAATCTTTTGTCAAATTACCCTCTACATTTACTTGTACTGTGCTCACATGGTTTATTGAACATAACACAAATAAACGGGAAAATGTTAAGTACTTCTACATGAAGCCCTACAACCATCTCTTGAAACTTATTCCACGTAGCCTCCTGGATCTTTGGGATTCTGGGGGATAAGACCCAAACCCACAGGTCATGGAAATGATTAAGGAAGGGATCGCATGTCTGGGACCCTTTTTGGGGTACCAAAAAGAAGCAAGGGAAGCATAGTGAGAAAGATCTGTCCTCTCCTCCATCTCAACAGTGGATGAGATTTTCAATATCTCCCAGTTCTTGCTTCTCACAATCCATCAATTAAAAAGCATTTATTAAGCACCTACTATGTACCAAGCACTGTGCTAAGTGCTAAGATTCTCCCAGACTTACATGCCTTTGCACAGATCTCTTCACTTCCCTGTTCCCTCTTTGTCTTATAGAAGATTAGGGCAATTTTACTTACTTTTGTCTAAGGATTCTGCTTCCCTCTGTGGGAATATCTCAGCTCACTACAGGGATGAAATAGTGCTGCAGAGGCACCCACTACATCAGATTGCATTTAGAGTTGATATTATCAGCGATATGGAAGTATTGATTCTTTTTTTATGTGCCATGATTTTGTTTGTTTAGGGGAAAGAAGGATAACAAATGCATTTTAATTGACCCTTCAAGCTCAGATACCAATATTTCTTTTTAAAAAAATTATTTATTTTAATTTTCAACATTCACTTCCATAAGCTTTTTAAAATTTTCTCCTCCTCCTTTCCCACCTACCTCCCCAAGACAGCATGCACTCTGATATAGGCTCTACATATACATTCCTAATAAACATATTTTCACATTAGTCATGTTGTAAAGAAGAATTAGAATCAGTAGGAGGAAGGACAAGAAAGAAGAAACAAAACAAAACAGAAGAAATAAAAAGAGCAAATAGTATGCTTAGATCGGCATTCAGATTCCATAGTTCTTTCTCTGAATGTGAATAGCATTTTCCATCATGAGACTTTTGGAGATATCTTAGATCCTTGCATTGCTGAGAAGAGCTAAGTCTGTCAAAGTTAATCATCCCACAATGTGGCTGTTACTGTGCACAATGTTCTCCTGGTTCTGTTAACTTCACTCAGCATCAATCCATGCAAGTCTTCTCAGGTTTTTCTGAAGTCTGCTTGCTCATCATTTCTTATAGCACAATAGTATTCCATTATTTTAATATACCAAAACTTGTTCCGCCATTCCCCAATTGACAGGCATACCCTCAATTTCCAATTCTTTGCCACCACAGAAAGAGCTGCTATAAATGTCTTTGTATATGTGGGTCCTTGTCCTGTTTTTAAGATCTCTTTGGGATACAGCTCTAGAAGTGGTATTGCTGGGTGGAAGTATTGATTCTTAAGATAGGAGATAAAGTGATGAAGATCGTGTTTGGGGAAAGCAATGGTGAGAGGGAAAGGAGCCAAAGATCCTCATATGTAAAATGGAGTGGGCAGAGAATGGGCTAAATTATTTCTAAGGTCCCAACTCTAATAGGAGGCTTTTGCAGGAGTACAGGTTTGAAGGAATGGAGCTCTGGACTAGAGAGGATAACTGGGAATGGAGAGTGAGGGGAAGGAGAGTAAGGAGTCTTTGGGAGGCCATAGACAAATGTAGAGCAGTGGTATCCAACTCATAGGAATGGGGTCACTAATCCATACATAAGGATCCTGGTGGGATGCATATTGACTACTCTAAAATGTAATATTATCTATGTTTTATTATATTTTATTTTGTTAAATATTTCTTAATTACATTTTAATCTGGTTTAGCCCTAGCTTGGGAGTGTGTTGGGTATCACGTAGCTTGCTGGCCATGTGTGATATAGAGGGCTACTTTACTCTGGTTCAATCTCTGGGCTTCAGTCCCTTTTCTTCTGCTGCCCCACCCTCATCCTCCTTGATCAGACAAATCATAGGAGCGTGGGATTTAGAGCTGGAAAGGACCTCAGATATCATATAGTCTATTGAGCTTACCTCTTTTTGCAAATGAGGAAACTGAATATTTGAAAGTAAAATGACTTGCCAGAGGTAAAGAGGTAATAAAAACAGAGCCAAGATTAAAACTCAGGTCCCCTGCCTCTGAATTTAGTTCTTTTTCCATTACACTAGTAACAAGATGGTAGAAAAAATGTCCACTAGTGGACATCACCCCAGTATCCCCTATTCCTGCAGTTCTCAAAGTGTGGTCCAAGAATTCCTGAGTTCCTGAGATCTTTCCAGGGGTTCTACGGGATCAAAACTATTTTTATAATAATACCAAGACATATTGATATAACCCACATGAACAAAAGCTCTTTGTGGGGTCCTCAAGAATTTTTTAATAATGTAAATGAATCCTGAGACTAAAAAGTTTGTGAACCTCTGCCACCTTTGGGGATGCATTCAATTCTTTAGAGAACTGTTATTACCTGGTGACTGACAACCCAGTCCCTCCTGTTCCTAAGGGAAGGTAATGTGGGAGCAGGGGAAGGAGAAGCCGTGGGAGACGAGAGTGTAGAGCCAAAGGTGAACAGATGCTGTCACTTACCTTTCTGTATCTTTGTTGTTAGAGAAGAGCAAAGTAGAGGGAGTCCCACCTCCCATTCCATTCTTACATCAGCAACTGGGGATGAGGGTCAGAAGTGAGTGTGTCTGACCTTCATTTATGTACCATAGATGATAGCTTCCTGTTATCCTGCCACTGTCCCTGTCTTCTTAAACAGGTAGTAACAGTGTCATAACTCCTCAGGAGCCTGGTGAAACCTAGAGTCATTCTATACTTACTACCTATGTGACCACTTAAGTGTCACTTAATTTCTCCTGACCTCAGTTTCCTCATTTGTAAAATGAAGACAATTATAGCACCTACTTTCAGAGTTGTTGTTCAGTGCTTTCAGTCATGTCCTGTTCATCCTGAACCAATTTGGGGTTTTCTTAGCAAAGATACTGGAGTGGTTTGTCATTTCCTTCTCCAGCTCACTTTACAGATGAGGAAACTGAGGCAAATAGGGTTCAGTGACTTGCCTAAGGTCACACAGCTAGGAAGTGTCTGAGGCCAGATTTGAATTTAGGAAGATGAGTCTTCCTAACTCTAGGCTCTGTGCTTTCTTGATTGCACCACCTAGCTGTCTTCTCAAGTTATGATCAAACGTGTGTGTGTGTGAGTGTGCGTGTGTGTGTATAGCACTTGCAAATCTTAAAAGTGCTGTATAAATACTAGTTATCATCATCATCATCATCCTCATTTTTCATCCAGATACTCAAGAAATTCAGAGCAGCTCATCCTCCAAACAAATGGGCAGGTATGAGGGCAGAATGAAGAACGGTTTCATTTTTCTGCTTTGCAAAGGGTGTCTGTGTTCGGAAGCATGGGGGATAGGCCAGGGATTAGGACCAGAGTGAAGAGCCTGGGGCAGAAAGAGGAAGCCGTCCTAAGGATTTCCAAATTCTTGAAGGTAAATTTCCTTTTTGATTTTCTCAGCATGCTATAGGAGGGCAGTTGGAAAAATACTGGTCTGTTGCCTAGGGATATCTCCAAAGAACTTACCTTTTAAACTTCCTAAATCCCTTTATCAACTTCACTTCCCCTTCTTCTCCAAACCTTGCCTCCCCCCCCTTCCCCAATCTCCCTCACCTCACAGAATTTTTGTAAGACACCAGGAAAGATATTTGCTCTCACTTCCCAGAACAACAGGGAATGTGAATGGGGGCCAGAGGATGGGGAGGTGGGTTGGGGAAGGTGTGCTGATCAGAACCATCTCTTGACAGAAATGGCCACAGATTAACTCTATTTAAATATTAAATAAGTCATTTATTATTTGGGCCCTGGCCTTAATTTCCTAGGTTCCCCCTGGTTTGATTTGACTCTTTAGTACTTGGAGTCTTGGAAGTTGAAGGGGTTATGAGCTCTACTTCTGAAACCACGTATATCTAGGTGAGACTTAACATGGAATTCTGCTATACTGCAGGGACTTTCAGGCCAGGAAAAAAGGAAGGGATATCTTTGGTGAGTGCACTGTGATATTTATAATGCACACAAATGTTATACCAATTAAATAATATATTTACTTTTTTTAATAGAGGGGCATCAGCTATGTCCTTTTTGATGTAGGATTACCGTCCTCCTCTCCCCTCCAGCCAGTTTCCTGGGGTTCAAAAAAATAAAAAGTATGACTGACTTGAAGACCCAACTCTAGGGATTTTGGGGGTAGATGGGGTTGGGAGGTGGACAAAGCAATCTGGTGATTAGAACAGAGGTACCTGAGGTCCCAAAGGAGACTGGGAGATAAAGCTTGGGGCCTTGGGTACATTTGTAAACGCATGCACATGCACACACACACAAACGAGTATCACAGTCATAAGCATGCACATAGCTATATAGAGTCTCACACACACTCAATCACACCTATCACACACAAAATGGCACACACAGTCATGGACCCTGTAGTAATACATGAGCACACATATTCATAGCCATCCGTAATCACCACCATACCCAGAGCTATACAGTCACAAATATAGATACAGGTATACAATCTGAAGTCAACTTCCACTGTTGGTCTTACATCTACCTTCTCCTTGCCCCCGCCCAATTTTATCCTTTCCCCTCTGACCTTCCCCCACCCAAATATAAATACAGTCTGCATCACTGGGGCAGCCCTTTGTTCCTGGTGTCTAAGATGAAGGCCTCTAATTTTTGCTTTGTAAATTATAGGGATTGGGCTTCCAGGCTTTCTTGCTGTTCAGGATGAAGACAACTAGAATCATCACAGACAGCAGCATAAGCAGGGTCAGGCCGAAGAGAAGGTACTGACTCTTGATAACATTCTGGGTCTTCATGTGGGTGCCCAGAAACATGTCTTCCTTGTTTGGATTAGGCATCTTGCTCTTAGCTAGAAACTTATAGAGTAGACCTGCTATGACCAAGATTAGGAACAGACATAGGATCAGCAGCACCCACTGCCCGGTAATGGCATTAGTGTGGTCCGTCTCCATGGACGGGAAGTTCACTTTTCTTTTCTCTAGAGAAAACAAAGCAAAGCCAGGGTAAGTACTAAGGAAAAATCAATCCCTTCTCCCTTCCACTCTAATTAGCTTCTGTGGGACATGGATTGGTTGTAGTATGGGGGAGTTTCTTGAGTACCTCCTAGGACAGTTGCTGAAGGAGGATGCTATGGTCAAGGCCCCCCGCCACTTTCATTATATTTATAGCTATTCAGCACCTACTCCCTACATATATGTATATATATACACACACACATACACACACACACACACATATATATAATGTGTGTGCACACAAATATAAATAGATATTCTGATTTTGGAACAGTACCAACGTATTCTATGTGTATATATAATATTTAAATAAACAGAATATAAAGTTTTATTTAATATATAAATATATACTAAATATAGTAGTGTATAGATAAAATATTTATGTATACGTCATATGTGTGTATGTATATAAGTATATATTCTAGTTTTGGACCGGTACCAACCCATTGTGTGTGTATATATATATGTAAATATTTAAATATATTAAATACAAGAGTATTTTAATATATAAAGCATATTTAAGTATATTTAACATAAAGTATGCATTAACTGTAGAAATATTTAGTAGATAAAATATTTATATGTATCATCTATGTGTATGCATGTATATATATATGTATTTATGCATATTATGTACATTTTGTATGTATGTTATTGTTCAGTCATTTCAGTCATGCCCAACTCTTTGTGACCCTGTTTGGGGTTTTCTTGGCAAAGACACTGGAATGGTTTGCCATTTCCTTCTCCAGCTCATTTTACAGATGCAGAAACTGAAGTAAACAGGGCTAAGTGACTTGCTGAGGGTCACACAGCTATTAAGTGTCCGAGGCCATATTTGAACTCGGGAAGACGAGTCTTCCTGACTCCAGACTCAGCACTCTGTTGACTGCATCACCTACCTGCCCCCGATGTGTGTGTAAATATATGTACATAAACACATATTTTGAAGTTGAAATTTGAGCCAGAATTGAGGCCCAAAATTAAGGGCAGGGTCTTGGCTGAGGCAAAGCTAAGCTGGACCAGGATTAGTTAGGTGGTGGAGTAGATAGTACACTGGACCTAGAGTCAGGAAGACTCATTTTACTAAGTTCAAAACAATCCTCAGACACTAGCAGTATGACCCTAGGCAACTCACTTAACCTCTGTTTGCTTAAGTTTCTTCATCTGTAAAAATGGAGATAATAGCACTTACTTCTCAGGGTTGTCATGAGGATCAAACATGATAATATTTGTAAAGTGCTTAGCACAGGACCTGTCAAATAATAGGTACTATATAAATATTAACTAGTATCAGTAGTAGTAGTAGTAGTAGTAGTAATAGTAGTTAGTAGTAGCAGCAGCAGTAGCAATAGTAGTAGAAGTAATAGTCATAGCAGCAGTAGAAGTACTTAGTAGTAGTAGCAGTAGCAGTAAGTAGTAGTCATAGTAGCAGTAGCAGTAGAAGTAGTAGTAATAGTAGTAGGAGCAGTAGGAGCAGCAGCAGTAGTAGTAACAGTAGGACTAGTAGTAGTGGAAGTAGTAGTAGCAGTAACAGCAGCAGCAGTTGTAGAAGTAGTAGTAACAGTAGCAGTACCATTATCATCAGAGATGAAGCAGTTAAACTCAGGCCAGCCCAGGATCTCTTCCTGACGCACATTCTCAGCAACAAGCCAGTCCAGCAGGGGCTTAAAGTACTTCATGAGTGGCTTTGCTGACATATTATACTGCCCAGTGATCATCTTCATTGCCTCTGGCCATGGCTTGCTGAATCCAAGTTTCATGATATCCCTGGTGTGGAACAGGCTTGTCATCCGTAATGCCAGAGCGAGCAGCATGCACCCCACCCCACTCCACCTCATGCTCTGGCCCAGATAGTTCTGGCCCCTAACTTGCCAATATCTCTTTTTTCCAGCTCCCTGACTCTGACTCTCCCACCTGGTCTCTCCCTGAAGTAAGGGGGCTGTCTAGCTCTTTGGACTGGAGGGTGAAAAGAAAAATGATGAAGAGGAAGCCTAGAAGGACTGTTATCCTCATGACCAATGTATTGCTGGGTACAGTTGAGTTGCAAAGTGTTCACAAAGTTGCAAAGTATTTACCTTAGTAAATATGTGAAACCTTTCTTGAGCCCTTCAATTGCTTTTACTCATCCCAAACTATGTTATCTTGAACTACTTCATATTCATTTGTATTTATTCTTCATCTATATATTGATTGAATACGTATTTATCTATGTACTCATTTTCTGCCCACCCCAAAATGTGATCACTTTAAGAGTAGATATTGTTGGGGCAGCGAGGTGGTGCAGTAAATAGAGCACCAGCCCTGCAGTTAGAGTTCAAAAGTCGGCCTCAGACCAAACATTTGACACTTACTAGCTGTGTGACCATGGGCAAGTCACTTAACCCTAATTGCCTAAGAAAAAAAAAAAAGAAAAATAGAAAAGAAAAAAAACCTATTTTAAAAAAAGAGTGGATATTGTTTCATTCTTTGTATTTTTATCCTCATCCCTTAATAAGCATGTGCTTAATAAATGTTTGTTGACTGATTAAATTCAATTCAAAAAACACTTTAAAAGTGGTTGCTATATGTAAGGCCCCTAGGCTCAGATTTCTTCATCCATAAGAGTCCACAATGACAGCAAAAGAAACTTTAACATTTTTTCCTGCACTCACCCCCACAACTCTCAATGTACAGTTATCCCTTCTACATTGAGACGTTCCCCATTGAGGTTTCGATCTATTGCAGGTTGGCGTAAGAAATTAGATGAGAATATCTTGGGAGTTTTGTGGAAGCTACAAACAACATGTGAAGGCCAGCAGATGACACAGAAAAAGTATTTTTGCTTAACATTGACCTACATATAGCCTATGACAAAATACTTAACCCAAATTTTACAATAAAGTACTGTAAACACCCCATAAAAGAAAAAAAAATCAGATTTCTTCTCTGTAGAGAAAGGAGGGCCAAAAGATTTTACTTGGATTTTCCAGATCATGGGGGAGCATGTGCTCCTACAATGTGGAAGAGATGACTGTACTTTCATGACAGCCCCAGGCAGGATGTGGATTTAACATTGGGAACCCTTTCCATTGTTGGAAATAGAATTGACATATATGAAATGTCCTTCTCAGCTTGACTTTTATTAATAGAAAAGAATTCATGAAGGATCAAAAGGTAGGTGGAAAGGTGGAAAGGTGGGAACCTCAGAGGAAGCTTCAGAAAACAATTATTTTCAAGATTCATTTGCAAGATGATATGGTGGGAAGAGTCCTAGAATGGAAGTCGGGAACTCTGGGCTTTTGTTCCAACTACTAACTGCTATGTGACTTTGTTCAAGTCACTCTTCCTTTGGGATCCTCTGCTTCCTCATTTATAAAATGAGGCAGTTGGTTTCCAAAATTTTTCAATGATAAAAAGATTCTATAATTCTATGCCACCCTCAACATTCTATAATCTGAAGGGAAAGGAGATAAATCAATAAAGGAGGAAATATTAGTAACTTTAGGTAAGAGAAATTTGCCAGAATTAGGTAGGTAAGATGGGAGATAATTTACTTGAAGAGAACCTTTAAGGAGGTGTTTTGGCCTACTGAAACAAATGTGTTATAATTAATAAGTACAGTAAGATTTCTTTAAATAAACTTAAATAGCTAATAATAATAACAATAAATAAATGAATAAATAATAAATCAACTTTAAATAAATCAACTATTGTTTATATCTTTCATCATTATCATTACCCATGCCATCATTACCATCATACCATATCATTATCACATCATCAATTGAATGATGGCAAATGTGTGGTCTCCTATAGAACATAACTTGTCAAAGTTTGCCTGTTCTTTACTACCATTACCGAGGATGCCTTTAATTATTATGGTGACTATCATAAAATTGCAAAATTCCTTTAATCACTTCTTCTAGAAACATATTTAATACTAAATATTTATTTAAATATTTGAAATATTTAATACTAATATTCTGCTATTGCTGTTATATGGTTGCCAGATAAGGGAATATATGTATTTGGAGTCAGAGGACTTGAGTTTAAATCTTCCTCTGACAGTTACTACTCTGTGACCGTAGGGTCTTTAGCCCCAGATTCCTCATCTGTAAAATGAGGAAATTGAACTTGATGGTCTTTGAGGTTTCTTCCAGATTTAGATCTATAATCCTATAATTATAAGTCTCTGAGAAATTAAAAATGGGTTATCACACAGAGGACAAGGAGAGGTACTTGGCGGACAGAGAAATCTGCAACATATTACAAATAGGGAACTTTGAAGACCTAGAGTAAGGTGGTCCTGAAAGAAACATACAATCCAAAAAGATGGGATAGTTATATGGTAAGCAGGAGGTCTAACAAGTGAACAGACTGAGTACGCCACCAGTATCTTCCAGACGTCAAGAGAAAGTGAGGAAGACCCCCAGGTTGTTGTGTGGACCCACTATGACAAATTTATGAAAGAACATGAAACAAATGATGAGAAGACATGGAGAGGTTGAAGGGAATTTCCAGGTCTATAGGATTACATATCGCTTCCTGAATTTTAAATATTTAAGGTAGTAAGGACCCAGTAGGAATAAGAAGGTAGGTAGTCCAAGTCTAAGTCTCCTTATTTTGTAGATAAAGAAAATGAGGCTCAGAGACAATATGTGACTCACTCATGTCCATCTGCCTTATAAGTATCAAAGTTAGAACTTGAGTCTAGGTCTTCTGGTTCCAATTCCAGTGATCCTTTTTTTTTCTTTTTCTTTTTAAAAAATATTTTATCGCGATTATTTTTGGTTACATTTGAGTTCCAAGCTGTTTCCCTCCCAACCTCCCAACCCCACACTAGAGAAGGCCAACATTTGACACAGATATATACATTAAACTATACAATACATAGTTTTGTAAATCATTTCTTTCTCTGGAGGTGGCTAGCATCTTCCTTCATAAACCCTTTGTAGTTGATTGAATATTCATGTAACTCAGAATAGTTTAGTCATTCACATTTACAATATTGCTGTTCGTGTGTATACAGTGTTCTCTTGGTTCTGCTCATTTTCACTCCTTTTTATTTCTTGTAAGTCTTCCTATGTTTTCCTAAAAGTCAACCTGCTCATCATTTCCTATTGCATGGTAGTATTCCATCATAATCATATACCACAACTTATTCAGCCATTCCCCAACTGATGGGCATCCCCTCAATTTCCAGTTCCAGCGATCCTTCTATTGTACCACAAGAAGCACAGGGGCCTAAGAAAACTGGCTGTTCAAAGACAAAGTTCCGTGGGACGACAAATAACCTACAAGAGAGACTAGATGGTCTCCATAGGCCAAGCCAACTAAACCCAGAAAGCAACAGTGAGCTAGGGACAAATGGGAAAGACAAAAAGATCAGAAATGAGGCTCAATCTTTAAAGGAAGAACTTGATTGTCTAGGGACAAGTGTAGAGATGCCTGCCAACACTAGAAGGAAGATGCATGGGACACTTTGGGACATAAAATACAAATATTATTTAAATATAATTTATTATTATTTAAATATATTTGATAACTTCAACCTTCCGATAGACAGGGAGAGCTCATTATTTCCATAGTACTTTAAGATTTGTCGGGACATCTAGGTGATGCAGTGGATAGTGCTCTAGCCTTGCAGTCAGGAGGACCTGAGTTCAAATCCAGCCTCAGACACTTGACACTAGCCGTGTGACCCTGGGCAAGTCACTTAGCCCGATTGCCTCACCAAAAAGCAAAAAAAAAAAAAAAAAAAAAAAAAGAGGAAAGAAAAAGATTTGTCAGATGCCTCATAGACATTATCTCATTTCTTCCTCACAACCAATGTGTGAGGTCGTGTTAGTATTATCCCTATTTTGCACCATACCCAGCTGCTGCTTTATCAGTAAGAGAAACATACTTGGTAACAGTGAAAAGGCAGAGCAAAAATACCGTTTTCTTTATTTCTGTAATCTCAGAAAAGCTCAGATGGGAACCGTTGGTTAGAACAAGCAAAAATAGGATGATAAGAATAGAAAAAGAGCAGAGGTTAATGAAATAAAGAATTCAGGCATGATGAGTCCTAGGGTTTGAGTTTATTGAGCCTGGAAATATCCATAGACTGTTGGAGCTGGAAGGAGCCTTTGATACAATCTGGTCTAAACTGTTCATTTTAGAGAGAGGAAATGGAGGTGCAGAGAAGTAAAATAAATTCAATTAAATCCAACAAACATGTATTTTCAAGACTCTTTTGGTACTTCAGATACAAACAAAAAAAGAAATAATCACCACTAGCATTTATATAGCGCTTCACAAATATTGTATCATTTGCTTATCAAAAACAACCCCAAGAGATATGTGCTATTATTATCTCCATTGGTGGAGTATCTGAGGCTGGATCTGAATTCAGGTCTTTCTGACTCCAGGTCAGGAGCTCTATCCACTGCACCACCTAGGGTTTCAGACACTTACTAGCTTTGTGACCTTGGGCAAGTCACTTAACCCTGTTTGCCTCAGTTTTCTCATTTGTAAAATGAACCAGAGAAGGAAATGGCAAACCACTCTAGTATCTCCGGCAAGAAAACGCCAAATGGGGTCATGAAGAGTCGGGGTTAAGTAGGGAGTGCATTTTAGGCACAGGGGATAGCCTATGAAAGGGCACAGAGACAGGAGATGGAGTGTTGCATTCAGGGAACAGCTTAGTTTGGCTGAGATACAGAGTTCATGAAGGAGAATAGTATGAAACATGATGGAACCAGATGGTAAAGGGGTTTAAGAAGTTTGTATTCAATCCTTGAAGCACTGGGGAGCCTTTGAAGGTTTTTGAATGACATCATTAGACTTGTGCCTTAGGGAAATTGTTTTGGAAGCTTCTTGGATAAAGAATTTAATAAGGGAAATAGAAATATGGAGATCAATTATAAGAGAAGAGGTTCAGGGAGAAGAGGATGTCTTCAGGTGAGGTTAGGTGGTACTATCAACAGAATATGGAAATTGATTGAACATGAGATGAAAGAGTCAAAGATGACTCTGGATGACACTTGGGTGATTGGAAAGATAGTGGACCTGCATAGGGTTATCTAGACAAACTCAACAATCTTCAGAGGAGGAAAGTGATGATGGTGGAAAGAACATCTGGAAATGTCAATGAAGAGCACCGAGCATGCCTACTTCTCCCCTTGACCTAGTGTATTTTAGGGAGGGCATAAGAGAAACAACAAACACTAGGGAGATTCAAGGTCTTATAGACAGAGTATAAATTCTTTGAACATGAGGAAGAAGGGAATAAACATTTATAAAGCACCTACTATGTGCCAGGCACCCTACACATTTTGTCTCGTTTGGTCCTCACAACAACTCTATGAGGTAGGTACTATTATGATTCTCATTTTACATTTGAAGAAACTGAGAGAGATAGAAATTAGAAGACTTGCCCAGGGTCACAGCTAGTAAGTGTCTGAGGCTATATTTGAATTTAGGTCTTCCTCACTCCAGGTCCAGTGCTCTCTACTCACTATACCACATAGCTTTATCAGCTACAGCACAGAAAGAGTATGAGAAGAAAATGCTATCCATCTACAGAGAAAGAACTGATGGCATATGAATGCAGATTGAAGTATACTTTAAAAAAACCTTATTATTCTTTTTTTGGTCTTGTTTTCTTTTGCAACATGACTAATACGGAATTGTTTTGCATGACTGCACATTTATAATCTATGTCAAATTGCTTGCCTTCCCCAGAAGGAGGGAAAGAATTTGGAACTCAACAATTTAAAAAACAAATGTTGAAAAATTTTTGTTTACATGTAATTGAGAAAAGAATAAAATAAAAATAAAATGGAAAAATAATTTTAAAAAAGTATAAAAAGTAGAGATCTAGGATGAAGGGGAATTTGTAATGATAAAGCAGAGCTCCAGACCAGCAAAAAGGAAGGGCAGAGGGGTGAGTTTCAGTAGGATAGACATGAGAGTACAGGGATCAGTAACAGAAAAGATATTTTTCACCCTGGGAGATGGCAACTTTGAATCAAAGAGATTAAAGGAGCAAGAGATTCAATTTGCTAGTCTTAATACCAGGGAAGTACTAGTAGTAGAAAGTACTAGCCTTCTTTCCTCCCTGTGAAAAAGGATAGTTTTAATAGGTTTACTTTAATGTTTACTCTCAAACACCAGACACTTGTCCAAGGTCAAGCAGTTAGTCAAGGATTCCCAGAGCAGAGCTCCTTTTCATTCATTCTTGATAACTCACAGGAAGCAAGCTAGACTTTGCCCTCCAATTTGCAGACAATACAATTAGTTACTACCACTACTACGCCTGTATGATAAGAATGAAATTCCAAGCCACCTTGATGGATTAGGGAAAAAAAAATTTTTTTTATCCAAAGCAAGAAAAAATTCAATAGTAATAAGATCAGTAAGTAGTTAGACCAGTAATTAAGAGTAACAAAAAAAAAAATCAACCGACATAACAGAATGGGAGAGCTTGGATTAGGGACAAAAAAAGCAGAGGTGAATCTGAAGATTATCATTGATTGGGAACTGACTATACTCAATTTCTTTTTTTTTCACCACTGAAATTTCCTTGTGAAGAAAAGTAGGCAGTATGATCTTAGGATATATTAAAAGGTGTTTTACATACAAATACCACTTAGGGAGATTGGAAACGACTCTGCTCCGGGATCTAGTAGACCTGGGTTTATGTCCTAACTATACCAACTAGCTGCCCAAGATGAGCTTGGGTTTACAGATGATGACTAAAAAGTGATAATGTGATTTCCCCCACCCTGTTGACTCAGTTTCCTGGGTTATAAGATGAGAAGTTGGACTAGATACTCTCGAGGGCCCTTTAGGTTCACGTTCCATGGTTCTGAAGTCACATAACTCTTAGGAGATTACAAGGTGAATAAATTCCTTCCACCTGCCCAAGGTTGAGACAACTCTTCCAGAGAATGTCTTGGAACTTTCTGGAGGATCAAAATAGGCAGGTGAGCACACTCACCCTAGGAGTTTTCCTGCCTCTTGGGAGCTGTAGATATTACATTTGTGCAGGGGACCTGAGTGGCCCGAGGCTCGACATAGGGCCTCATGGAATTGGAACTGGATCACATAGCTGATAAAGTACCTAAGCAGAGGAGACAGAAGGGGGTAGGAAAAAGGTAAGAAGAAGCTCTGGAAGCTGGGACCATCCTCAAGCCTACTCTGATATCTTAGAAGACTCCTGGGGGATTGAGTAGGGCTGTAAAGTCCATTATGGCCTCCATTTAACCCAGGCTCGTCAGAAGTGTCTCAGTAAGCTTCCTAGGTCCGCTGCTCCTAGTTTGGGCTGCACCTTTATGGGGCCATTTGGCTCCAGGACCAACTTGACTTGAGAAGTATGGGAAAATATGGAGCTAGTATATTCAAGAAGCTGCTCCTCTTTCCCCAAGGTGAGATGATGTTGGTCTTAATGAACAATCATCTTCCTGAAGCTTGATGACTAGTTTTGAATGTGATATCCTTGTGTGGTTCTGGTTGCTTTATAAAATGTCCTTTCCTGGTGCAGACATTGTCCCATCCTCTGATTCCTGGTCACATACTTCCCCTCTACCCCCCTGACCTTTTCCCAAGCAGCAAGGAAAGAATTGGCAAAATTCTGAAGTAGGAAAAGCCATTTTTAGTTCACTTCAGGATTTCTTGTTGAGCCCTTTCCCCTACTGGGGCCCATCTGATGTTCTGAGCTCTCTCTGCCCATCTGAGGTGAAATTGGATCTCAGAGCAGGATTTAGTTGCAAGGGGCAGAGGAGGTTCCATGAAGGGCCTCTCTCAGAAGGCATTTGTATCCAATTGAAGAAGTGGAAAGTAGCAATCCTGGTATCTTTGAACCACATGGGAGTTTGCCTAATCAGAATCTTTGATTTATGGGCCCTGTGTACAGTACCCAAAACTTTACCTGATATAAGGTATGTTGGCAGCAATGTGGAACTTGGAACCTGGGTCAAAGTCTTCCTCTGACCTTGGCACTGGTGGGCATAATCCCTGATATTTTAACCTGGCAAGGGACAATATGACAAATGATTATGTTGACAGCAGCAGCTTTTGACTTTGCAAAGTAATTTCGTATCTATTGTATGTAATTTTTTTCTTTTTTTTTTTTCAATATTGTGTTTCTGTTGGTATAGGGAATTCCTGGTTGGAAAAATTCCACTGTCAATGAAGATCAACTATGGCTCTGCAATCTATAAAGTTAGAGAATTAGAGGGTCACATAGGATGCTGAAAAGCTAATAATAAGAGCTAGCACTTATAAAATGCTTTAAGGTTTGCAAAACACTTTATATACTTTATCTCATTTGGTGATCACAGCAACAATCCTGTGAGGTAGGTGCTATCATAGTCATTTTAGAGAAGAAGAAACTATGACTAAGTTAAGGGACTCACATAGCTAGTGTGTGTAAGAAGTGGGATGTGAATGTTTTCCTGTGAGTCTCTATCTCTCTTCACTATGCCTCCCTGACTCTTTTATTATTTCATTTGATCCCCCAAACAGTAGGTATTATTCTCCCCCACCTAACAGATAGGAAGACTGAACTGTGAGGAACTCGCCCAGGGTTGGTGGCAGAACCAGAGCTAGAATCCTGATTGTCCCAACTTCCCAATTAAGGATCTTTCAGTTGGAGTAGCCTAGAGGTAGGTTCATAGGATCTTATATTTAGAGTGGAAAAATCACATGATTCTTTTGACTCCCTGACATCCCCAAGACCCTTTGAGGGAATCTGTGAGGTCAAAACTATTTTTATAACAATATCAAGATTTTTAAATTTCTAATATAGTTTCAAACATTAATAGCTATAACCCACATAAGCAAAAATTCTTGTGGAGGGGAACCTCAATAACTTTTTAAAGTGTAAAAGGGTCCTGAGACCAAAACATTTCAGAACTGTCTGCGTAAATATGCTGGATTTGGAATCAGAAAGACCATCCAAAGCTCACCTCTACCACTTAGTAGCTGGGTAACAAGTTATTTAATCTCTGTTCCTCAGGAAACTCCCTCACACTTAGCCATTAAGTCTTAGAAAGTTTGCAGCCTGTGGATAGGTCTCCCATACCAGGAGTGCCCTGAGCTGAAGAAATCATAGTTGCTTCTTTTGTTTGTATTTTTTACCATATGTCACGTTTACAAAATGCTTCCCCCTCCTAACAAACCTAAGTGGTTAGTAGCACAAGTATTAGCCTTATTTTACAGATGAGGAAACTGAGGTTCAGAGGGATTTAAGTGTATCTCTCCAACCTTATCTGCCACTAATACGCTGCCCCTTCCTTCCCAAACCTTCTGCTCAGGCCAAAGTGATTTATTCAATAATGCATCTTGAACTTTCCTACCTCTATACCCTTGCTTAGATAATTTCCCATTTGGAATGCCCTCAATGCAGCTAGCATCAGAGCCAGCTCTCTTGATTCCTACCAAATGCAGTATTTTTCCCATTCCATTCATGTCAATTATGTGGTTTGAAGACTTAAGAAAGGTGGGGCCATATTCTCTTTGGCTTACTATTTGTCCACGGTGGGAACACGGCCCTAGAGCCTGCGACTTAGGCCAGGCCGTACCGGCAGAGTGACTTGGAATGACCTGGGAAGAAATTTCAGGTGCCCTTCAAATGAGTGCCGATGGCAAAGAAGTAGCAGAACAGATTTAATGGGCCATGAGTTTTCTGTTGCCACAAACCACCCTTTTTTATACCGTTGCATAGTCTAAGTGACAGCCTAAGGCAGAAAATGAGGCCTACTCTTGCAGAAGGGTCCCAGTGAAGACTGGCTTCTTAGAAAGAGGTTCACAAGGCAAGACTTGGACAGCAAATAGAGAAGAATAGTAGGAAATGGAAGGTGCCTCAGAAGCCATTGAATCTAACCCTTTCATTTATAGGTGAGGAAAATGAGATCCACTGAAGAGAAATGATTTGCCCAAAGTCACACTGGTGGTACAGTGAATAAGAATGCCAGGCATGGACTCAGGAAGACCTGAGTTCAAATCCTGACTTAAACACTTACCAGCTGCGTGACTCTGGGCAAGTCACTTAACTTCTCTGTACTTCAGTTTCTTCAACTATAAAAAAGGGATCATAATAGCGCTTACCTCCACACACTCATATTAGGATTACTCTGGACTGAGGTTCAGGGGGCACACCAACCGTTAGTATTAGGGCAATTGACCTTACCCCTGAGGAAACCTTGAGAGGTTTCTCTATCACCACCCCCACAGGAAAAGTCCCTGGGGTACAAAAAGTCAGAATAGTCCCAGACCTCAGGTTCCACCATTCCTGATTGTAAAATTCCTTGCTGATTCGGCCATCAAAGACCTTCCATCGAAACTGGTCCACCAGGTAGCTGAAGGGGATGAAGGCAATTTTTTCCAATGCTATGTTCATAAGGAAGTTGATATCGCTTTCTGTAGACAGAGAGCAGAGCTCAGCCGGTTTAGCACCTCTATAAGTCTTAGAACCTTTCCTCCTTCAGTCATAGGAAAACAAACTGTTAGCATCAAAAAGGACAACCCAATATCATCTTTGTCTTCTAATTTCTCCTTTCATCACTTTGACTTTTCAGGGAGGTGCTGAGAGTTCAAATGCCATTAGAAGGGACCCCCAAACCAAGTGTCTGAGCTGCCATACCCTATCTCACATCCCACCTTCTACAGGAAGCCTTCTCTAACGCTTCTTACTTCCAGCACTTTTCGTCTTTTAATTATTTCCTATATATTTTGTGTGTGGCTTGCTTTTGTGTGTGTGTGTGTATATATATATATATATATATTATATATATGTATGTATTTATGTATATATGTGTATATACACACATATATACACACCCACACATGTGTGTTTGTGTTTGTGTATGTATATACGTGTGTGTATCTATTTACAAGTTGTCTCTCTCCATTAGGTTGTAAACTCCTTGAGGGTCCTTGAGGGTAGAGACTATCTTTTGCCTCCTTTTGTGTCCCCAATGGTTAGCACAGTGTCTGCACATAGCAGGAACTTGACTGAATGATTGATCTCCCTTTCCCCACCTAGTTTCCTCTAGTAAGCTTTTTTTTGTTTTGTTTTGTTTTGTTGCAAGGCAATTAGGGTTAAGTGACCTGCCCAGGGTCACACAGCTACTAAATGTCAAGTGTCTGAGGCTGGATTTGAATTCAGGTCCTCCTGACTCCAGAGCTGGTGCTCTATCCATTGTGCCACCTAGTTTCCCCTCTCTAGTAAGCTTCTGAGTCCATTTTTTCTTCTCACCCAAGACCTACAGCTTCCATTCTCCACAAGCCTCCCTTCCTAGACCTCCTAGGACCCTCCTGGACCCTTCCTAGACCACAATTCAGTCACTGTAGTCCTCTATTTCAGCAACCAGAAGCTCTGAGTTGTGAAGGTACTTGGGGGTGGAGATGGAAAGGCCACCACATCCCCTATCGCCTCATGGAAGCCCGGGTTGGCACCTTCTCGGAGTGCCAAGGACAGATTCTTGTACTGCATGAAATACTGGATATGGCCCATCTCATGGAAGACGGACAATAGATCTTCCATGTCCACCTTGGTGCAAATCTTTACCCTGAGACAAAAGGGAAAGGGAGAGAGGAAAGTGAAGGTTAAATTGGAGATGAGAGAGGCCAAGGAAATCTTTCTTATGTGGGAAAGTTAAAATGACTAGGACTGATTAGACTGTTGAAGAGAAAGTATGATGTAGTATAATGAGCAGAGCACTGGATTTGTAGTCAGAAGGCCTGGGTTGGAATCCTGACTTTGACTTTTACCACCTAGGTGACTTGAGTGAATTTCTTCCCGGTAAGGGACTGAACTAAACAGCTTTAAAGTCTCTTCCAGCTGTAAGTCCCAAATGTAAGTGATTTTTCTGAAAATCAAAAGGGTTGTCCCTTTTGATGCTAAAAACTTCATTTTTAGACTTTGTTATTGTTGTTCAGTCATTTTCAGTCATGTTCAACTCTTTGTGACCCCATTTGGAGTTTTCTTGGCAAAGATACTGGAGAGGTTTGCCATTTCCTTCTCCAGCTCATTTTACAGATGAGGAAACTGAGGCAAATAAGGCTAAGTGACTTGCCCAGGATCACACAGCTAGTAAGTGTCTGAGACTGTATTTGAATTCAAGTCTTCCTGACTCCAGGCCTGGCACTCTAACTACTGCCTCACCTAGCTTCCTCACAGAGCATTTTTTGTTGTTCAGTCGTTTTTGACTCTTTGTGACTCCATTTAGGGTTTTATTGGCAAAGATACTGGAGTGGTTTGCCATTTCCTTCTCCAGCTCAGTTTACAGATGAGGAAATGGAGGCAAACAGGGTTAAGTGACTTGTCCAAAATCACACAGCTAGTGAATGTCTGAAACCAAATTTGAACTGAGGAAGATGAGTCTTCCTGATTCCAGAATCCACTGTACCATCTAGGGACTTGAGCTTTACCCATCCTTTAAGATCCAGCTCAAGCCCTCTTCCTCCATGAAGCCTCCTACAAATAGTCCAGCCCAGGGATTTCTTTCTTCTCTAATCTCGTGGCATTTATTGTGCCTCTCAGCTTATGGCACTTACCATCTGTATAATTCATTTGACAATTTACCATGTACTGTCGTGTAATGCCTCTTGTATGAATGTCATCTTATAGTAACTGTGGTGTCCTTATATCTCACTTCTTCAAACTGGTTGTAAACTCACTAATCATATCTTACACTTCTTTGTATTCTCCACTGGGCTCTGCACACAGTTAATGCTAAAAAGAAAGTGTTTCTTTCATTCATTTAATCTATGGAGAGTTTTTATGAGGGGAATACCAATTAGTTCCACCTGGAATCACAATGCCTCCACAAAAGTAAATGATGTTTTATTAAAGCAGGAGAAATTTCCATTCTTCAGAGAGAAAAACTTCTCAACCCTCAACCCAAAGATAGTAAAATGTTAGGTTGGGTGACTGAATAAGAAATGGACACAGATACTGTGGAGTCTCTGTCCTGATATTACATAATCATAGACTATTAGGGCTGGGAGGGATGGTATAGTTTACCTAGTCTACTTTTTATGTTATAGATGGGAAACTGAGGTTTCAAAAGAGGAGGTGACTTGCTTAAGGTCACATGGTGAACTAGAACCCAAATCTCTTGAATATAAGTCCAGTGTTTTTGCCACTGCACTTAACTGCCTTTCGTTGCTTAGATGACCGAATTCAATTATCAAAAAGATGTGAGAGAGACAGAGACAGAAAGAGAGAGAGAGAAAGAGAGAGAGAGGGTGAAAGAGAGAAGAGAGGGACAGAGAAAAAGAGACACAGAAAGACAGAGACAGAGACCTTTCTGATGCCAGAACCAGGCTGGCACATACACCATTGTTCTTTGAACTCTAAGTACCACCCTCTTCCATGAGCACCTGAAGTCCTTGCCATCATAGAAGTCCCAGGCAGAGGCTTGGCATGCCACATCTTTTCCATCCTGTGGCTTCTCCAGCATTGATTTTTCCCAGAATTCAGGGAGAACAGGGAGCAGCCCCAGAGACTGGAAGAATTTGTCAGCCTCCTCAAACATCTTAAAGGGTGTCCAATGCTACAAGGCCAAAAAGGAAATATGGGTTATTGCCCTCTCCAGCTTGTGAGGGCAACAAAGAACTCATCCCTCCTCCATTCACTGGGACAGTCTGAAAAAGGGACAGTGTGAGAGGTAGCCTAATAGAGTTAGAGATCAAAGCAGGGGAGACAAAGTCAAATTAAATGCTGACCTGGCTCCTCATGGCCATGGTGGCATCCATTTTGGAGGATGAAAGAAAGGGTGTTACTAGGTCAATGATGTTGGTCCAGGACTGAGCCCACATGTTCCCTAGGAAGTGTAGCAGCAGGGCCAAATATAATACCGAAGGGGAAAGGAAGGAAATAAGAAGGGATGGGGAGAGAAATGTGCTTCTATTTACCCTCAGGGAAAGAAAAGGAGCACAAGGTCCTTTCTCTCCCCCACTGCTACCTGACCCTTCTGGTCACTCTTACCAGGTCTTTTTTTCTTTCTTTTTCTTTTAAATATTTTATTTTTTTCTAATTACATGTAAAAAGAATTTTCAACATTTCTTTAAAACTTTGAGTTCCAAATTGCCTCAGTCCCTCCCTTCCACCCTCATTGAGAAGCAATTCTCTCTCTCTCTCTATTGATATATATATATATATACACATATGCAGTCATGCAAAACATATTTCCATATTAGTCATATTGTGAAAGAAAACACAGACTAAAAAAAAAACACCCAAGAAAAATAAAGTTTTAAAAAAAGGTATGTTTTGGTATACATTCAGACTTAATCAGTTCTTCCTCTGGAGGGAGATAATATTTTTCATTCAATGTTTCATAAACATTTTTCATTTCAATTCCTTTGGAATTGTTTTGAATCATTATATTGCTGAGAATAGCTAAGTTAACAGTTGATCATCATACAGTATTGCTATTATTGTGTACAATATTCTCCTGGTTCTGCTTACTTCACTTTGCATCAGTTCATGTAAGTCTTTCCAGATTTTTCTGAAATCAGCCTGTTCATCATTTCTTACAACACAATAGTATTCCATCACAATCGTATACTATATCTTGTTCAGTCATTCCCCAATGGATAGGCATCCCCTCAATTTCCATTACCTGGTCTTTCTAACCCTCCTCAACACCAGTTCTGATCCCAAATACCTGAGATAGGATCAGAGAATATCCGAGCTGGAAGGAACCATAGAGCCATTTACCTGGAGTCCTTAGCTTGGGGTCCATAAACTTGTTTGAAAAAATATTTTTCTAACTGTATTTCAATATAATTGGTTTCATATGTGATCCTATGTATTTTATTTTATGTGTTTAAGAACATCATTCCAAGAAGGGGCCCACAAGCTTCACCAGACTCCTAGAGGGGTCCCATGAGACAAAAAAGGTTTATGCCAGGACCTCTGATCTAGTCCGACTCCTTCATTTTAAAGATGAGGAAACTTAGGTATAGATAAGTGACTTGCCCAAGGTCACAAATGCAGTAAGAAGTGGAATCAGATTTCAAACCCAGAATCACTGATGTGAAATCTAGTATTCTTTCCACTATACCACATTGTCTATCTTCTTTCTGATAACCTCCATTTATTCACCAGGGTTAGGCCCTTGTTCCTGTGACTCTCCATACTGATCCTGGCAACACTCCCTCTCTTTTTAAATTCTTCTGGCTCCTTCTTCAGATTCCTTTGCCCTTGCTCCTATCCTCAACTTACCCAATAAGTGGGCAGGAATGGGCTCTTTTAGGCTAATGAGTTCAGACCCATAGTAATTGTAAAGAGCTCGGCGCACATAAGCATGTAGGTTTAGGTAGAGTGGCTCCATTTCTTGGTAAAGCTTCTCAAGGTCTTTCTCCAAGGTAGGTGACTCATATACTTCTCTCCATGAGGCCCCTGTATCCTGGTGACCTGGGATAGAAAAGACGGGAGGAGAAAAGGGAAGCTCAGGTCAAAGGTTCCTGATATTTCTTCTAGGCCCCTTAACCATCCATCTTCCCAGCACCAGCATCCTCCAGTGGGAAGAGAATAGCATTGGGGTCAGTAGAGTTAGATTACAATTCTACTGCTGTTAACTAGCTATGTAACCTTGGTCAAGTTATTTAATCTCTCACAGGCTAGTTTACACATATGAAAAGTAGAAGCAACTGCCCTGATGACTTACAGGATTGTTGTAATTGTAGGAATGGTAAGAAAGAGCTTAGGTATGACCTAAATAACATCCCTTATGAATATGAAGTGGAGGTGATAAATAGATTTAAGGGATTACATCTGGTAGATAGAGTGTCTGAAGAAGTATCGTATAAGAGGCAGCAACAAAAACATTCCAAAGAAAAAGAAGACTAAGAAAGCAAAATGGCTGTCCAAAGTGGCGTTACAGATAGCCAAGGAAAGAAGGAAAGTGAAAGGGAAAGGAAAGATTTACCCAACTGAATTCAGAATTCCAGAGAATAGCAAGGAAAGATAAGGTAGCTTTCTTAAAACAATAGAATGGGAAAGACAAGAGATGTCTTTGAGAAAATTAGAGAGATTAAGGGAAAGTTTTGTGCAAAAATGGGCATGATAAAAAACAAAAATGGTAGGTATTTAACAGAAGCAGAAGAGATTAAGAATACATAGAAGAATTATACAGGAAAGATGTTAACATCACTGATAACCAATAACCACCATGGTATGGTTAATGATCTAGAGTCAGACATCCTGGAGAATGAAGTCAGGTGGGCCTTAGGAAGCATCGCTGACAATAAAGCTAGTGGAGGTGACAAGAGTCCAGCTGAGTTATTTAAAGCCCTAAAAGATGATGTTATTAAAGTCTTGCACTCAATATGCCAACAAATTTGGGAAACACAATAGTGGCAACTAGATTGGAAAAGACCAGTTTGTGTTCCAATCCTAAAGAAAGGCAATGCCAAAGAATGTTCAAATTACCAAATAATCACACTCATTTCACATGCCAGCAAAGTTATGCTTAACATTCTACAAGTTTGGCTTTAGGAATATCTGAATCAAGAATTAACATAAGAGCAGGATAGTTTTCAAGGAGGCAGAGGAACTAGAGAGCAAATCATTCTCTGGATTATAAAGGAAGCAAGGGAGTTCCAGAAAAAAAAACAACAAAAAACAAACAACACATATGCTTCATTGACTACACTAAATCCTTTGCCTGGCTTCGTGGGACACAACAAAATGTGGCAAGTCCTCAAAAATATGGAAGTATCAAATCATCATACTTGTCTCCTGAGGAATCTGTATGTGGGCCAAGAAGCAACAGTTAGAACTGAACATGGAACAATCGATTGGTTTTAGATTGGAAAAGGAGTACAACAAGGCTGGATATGTCACCTTATTTAACTTATATGCAGAATATATCATGCAAAATGCCAGGCTGGATGAACCAAAAGCTGGAATTAAGGTTGCTGGGAGAAAAGTCAACAATCTCAGATATGCAGACAATACCACTCAGATGGCAGAAAGTGAAGGAGAGTTAAGAAGCCTCTTGATGAGGGTGAAAGAGGAGAGTATAAAAGCTGGCTTGAAACTTAACATTAAAAAAAAAAAACAACCCTAAGATCTTGGCAAATGGTCCCATGACTTCCTGGCAAATAGAGGGAGGAGAAATGGAAGCAGTGTCAGATTTTATATTCGTGGGCTCAAAGATCACTGCTGATGATGACGGCAGCCACAAAATTAAAAGATTCTTGCTCCTTGGAAGGAAAACTATGGCAAAGCTGGACAGCATACTAAAAAGCAGAGACATCATTTTGCCAACAAAGATCTGTATTAGTCAAAGCTATGGTTTTCCAGTAGCAATGTATGGCTGTGGTTGTGAGAGTTAGACTATAATGAAAGCTGAGTACCACAGAATTGACACTTTTGAACTGTGGTGCTGGAGAAGATTTTTTTTTTAAGTTAGGCAGTCAGGGTTAAGTGACTTGCCCAGGGTAGCACAGCTAGTAAGTGTCAAGTGTCTGAGGCCAGATTTGAACTCAGGTCTTCCTGACTCCAAAGCCAGAGCTCTATCCACTGCACCACCTAATTGCCCCTGGAAGAGGCTTTTGAAAGTCCCTTGGACAACAAGGAGATCAAATCAGTCAGTACTTAAACTAATTCAGGCTATTCACTGGAAGGTCTACTGAAGCTGAGGCTTAACTACTTTGGTCACATAATGAAAAAATAGGACTCAGTGGAAAAGATCCTGATGTTAGGAAAGACTTCAGGCAAAAGGAAAAGGGGATGACAGAGAATGAGATGGATGGATAATGTCATGGAAACAATGAACATGAACTTGGACAAACTTTGAGAGATAATGGAGGTTAGAAGAGCCTGGTGTGCTATGGTCCATGGGATCATGAAAAGTTTGACCCAACTGAACAACTGGACAACAATGGGAAAAAACCTTGAAAAGTATCAAGTAATAAATGCATACTATAATCCTCATCTCATCTCCTGCCTCAGCTCTTGGACCCAGGGAAAGGAGATCAGGAAAGTTGAAATTCTCTCCCTAGGGTTCCTTGCCCCTATAGACACCCTCTTCTAGGTCATGTTGCTCAGCTTTCTTTCCCTTTTATGGGATCAATGTCCTCAGTGAGCAGGGGGTCATTGAGAAGTCATATCCTCAATGAGTTAGGAATTTTTGAGGAGGTTTAGGGGAGAATTGAATCCAAGGGGCTCCTGGAGAACTGTGGGAGTTTCAGGTTCTATTTGCCTTACCATTAAGTCTGGCAGCCTTGTTGCTGAGCTCCACATACTGACTGTAGATGGGGTGGAGCTGCCGGCCTACAGAATCTCGCCAACCTTGCCAGGCCCAAAGCAGTTCCTCCTGCTTCCAGGAGGAAGCCATCAGCTCTGTAAGATCTGAGCCCGGGGAGGAAGAGATTGTGACAGGGATCCCTAGGACCCTTGCCCACCATTTCCCAGGCCCTCTTCCCACCCCAACCTCACGAACCTTCTCTGGCAAAGCCTTTTGGAAAGAAATGGCCCCCTACTCCTCATTCCATTTCTTGCCCTGCTATGCCCTGCTCTCTAGTCTCCACAGAATTTCCATAGTTTCTCACAGTCTCCCTCCAGGCTCACATAAGATGAGGGCAAAGACTGGAAGGGGGTCTTAACCTGGAATCCATGGGATCCCCAAGGGTCTTATTAATCGATTTCAGAGGGTCCATGAATTTGGATAGGAGAAGTTATTTTTACTAACCTTTGTAATTCTCTGAGTTTCATTTCATACATTTAAAAACCTTATTCTGTGGAGTCCATATGCTTCACTAGCCTGCCAAAGGAGTCCGTGGCACACAAAAGATTAAGAACTAGATTGTAAGGATGAAGGCCTCCAGAGTTTTTTCCTCTCTAGCCCCAATCATGTCATGGATACTTGGGTTCTCTGTCAATAATGCCCTCTTCCTACTCCTTTCTTTACTTATTCTTCTAGACCCTGGACGTTAAGGCAGGACCAGGGACACCTCTCAGGCAGTGTCTAGACCCCCCCCCCCCACCTTATTAGGAAGCAGAAGAGTAGGAAGACGGAAGAGTATGTATTGATAGGGAGCAGGGGGAGAACAGGGACCCAGTGGAGGGCAGGAGAGTTGTGCCTCTCTGCCTTTGTCCCCAGGCTCACCAGGCTCTAGGATCACACAAGGTCCCTCTTCTAAGCACACATCAGCCATATTGTAGATTGTCTCCATATTTGCTAGAAGTTCATTGTACTGGAAGTGGGAGGAATAGGACAGATGTTACTTCCAAGCAGGATTCACCTTGATCTTCATCCCCATCTCACACTCCCTACTCTCAAATGCATGTGTCTCCTACTCCTCCAACTTCCAATCTTCCCCTATATCTCATCAAGAAGAACGCACTCATGATCACTTGAACCCTTTATGCCATCTTCCTTCCTCCTTCGCCCACCCCCCCACCTTAGTCCCAAGGTTCAGAGGAAGGGTGCAGTTTCCTACAAATGCCAAATTTTGGCTGCCTCCACCCCCCCAGTGACAACTGAAGGCAGTGAGGGAGGGTACTCGTCACAGATGTCACCTGCACATCTATTCCTACTTATCCCATGTTCAGGTGACCAGTGTGAATAATATCAGAAATTTAATCATTCTTCATAGGCCTGTGACTTTCTCAACTTCCCCGGGTTCCCAATTTCCTGTCTCTTTTCTTAGACCCTTCACTTTGGCTCCCTCAACCTATCTGTTTCCAAAGAGCTAGTCATCAATAGATTATCACTGAGCCCTGTTCATTCTTTTATTGGGCAGGGAGGGACCATCATCAGGGTCTGAGCTCCACAATAGCCTGGTATTGAAGGGACAGGCCCAGAAAGAATTTGGGGATAGTGGCCCTTGCCCAGGGCCTATCACCTCCTTAAGGTCATTCTTGGGTAGGCTGGCCTTCTCCATTTCCCTCAGCTTCCATAGGATACGCTTCAGTAGTGGGTTGCTAAAGTTGGTGGTGTTAAAGTCATGAGCCTTTACGCCATAATACAATATATGCTGATCCATCAGGAAGTCCTTTTCCAGCTGTGGAGGGTCCAGGAAGGAGGAGGTCATAGGGTGTCTCATGGGAGAGAAGAAAGGGGAGCTCCCTGGGAGCTTTGAAGGGAGGAAAGGGTCTTGGAGAAAAAAGCACAGTGCCCATATTTAGCTCTAGACACACTTCATCCTCTCTCCTCCTCTCTGCCCCCACCCTCACTTCTACTAGCTTTTTCCTTATTCTTACCCTTCCCATGCCTGGATTCTCAGCTTTGGGAGGATGCCAGTTTAGGAATATTATAGGCTGCATTAGAAAGGGGACCTGGGAACTCACATGCAGGATGCACAGACAGATGGAAAAAAGCCACAGGTTCTTGTCTCAGAGTCCAGAGAGGCCCTGAGAAGCTTGAGTTCTGCCCTCATTTGAGTACTTAATCCTAGTGTAAGAGGCCACATCACCCAGAATGCTCTGTCCCCTCCTAGAAAGCCTGAGAAGGCAGTAAAAGGGCACTTGGAACATAGAATTAGTGTTGGAAGGGACCTTAGAGGCCACGAGTTCAACTCCCTCACTTTACATATAAAGAAACTGATTGAAGCCCAGGGCTGTTAAGTGGCCAGAGTCACACAGCTATTGAGTATCTGAGTGTGATCAGATTTGAACCTACATCTTCCTGACTCCAAGTCCAGTCTACTTTATTACACTAGATGGCTCTCAAAAAATCCGGGAGATTGGGAGACAGTGAGCCCTGCATATGTGTCCCATTGCCTTTAGATTTCTCTTTTCATCCATCCCAGACCCACAGAAATTCTCAAAGAACTGGGGGCATTTAAACCTGGATAAGAGAAAACTTAATGGGGAATAATCCTAGGGGATTTGGGGCTAGGTATTTCCTTTCCCTCACACCCTGGAGCAAGTAGTGCATAGGACCCAAAGACTTACTGGGACATTGGTATTAAGGGTAAAAATATAGGACAGACATTTGGGAGTGGATGCCGCAAAGAGGAGAGAAGGCAAGAACCTGAGGTTGGGGGAGGGCAGGGTTAAAGGGGCCCACCATCTTCTGGCGGTTATACTCAGTGATGTTGGTGCTGTATTTCCAAAGGGCCAACATGTACTCATTCCACACTGCTTGAGCTGTCTGATCATACTCTTTCACGAATTCATTTGCCGCTGACTCATTTTTTGATTCATTTTTGGTGAGGGCTCTTCCGACATAATTTCCTAGGGAAGAATGATAGAATCATAGGTCAGAACAGGAAGAGTCCTTTGAGATCATCTAGTCTAATTACCTTATTTTGTTGTCATGTCCAACTCTTTGTGACCCCATTTGAGGTTCTTTTTGGCAAAGATACTGGAGTGGTTTGCCATTTCCTTCTCTGGCTCATTTTACAGATGAGGAAACTGAGGCAAACTGGGCTAAGTGACTTGCCCAGGGTCACACAGCTAGTAAGCCAGATTTGAACTCATGAAGATGAATCTTCCTGACTCCAGGCCTGACATTCTATCCACTGCACCCCCTAGCTGCTAATTTTACAGAGACAGAAACTGAGGCCCAAGAAATGGGTGTAGCTTGCCTAAAGTTATTCACCAAGTTAGTGGCAGTACCAAGACTAGAACCTAGAACTTCTGACCAGTGCTCTTTCCATTACACCCCATTGCCTCTGGAGATAGTCCTACTCAGACCTTCCCTTTGACCCCCTATCCAGCTCTCCTGCTCCTTAGTCCTACTTGAATTCTCAGCTCTCCCCATGCTGAGCAGTGAGAGAGACTGCCCACAATAGCAAAATAGAAGTATGGAAGACCAAAGGGGAACAATCCAATGTCTGCCCATAGCCAAGGGATATTCACACTGGGAGGCTGTATGCCTCATGGCCAATCAGAACACATCCCATCAGTGTGACCTCACAGGCATAAGTCGGTTAAGAATCTGGAACTCACAGGGAAGGAGTTTCTGAGACAGCTCACCATCCATGCTGGGATCAATACAGAAAAGGGAAGGCTTTTTGCTTAGGGGCTATAAGAGATGGCCAGAGTAGGCCATATGTCTGATCCTTGCTAAGATTCCCAGGGAATAAGGCAGGTCCTGGAATCAGGACTGTGCCAGGAACTTGGGAGGTAGTGAGTCCTGCACCTGTGTCCCATTGCTTTTAGATTTCTCTTTTCATCCATCCCCGCCTGATGGGAATTTTCAAAGAACTAGACGTGTTTAACCTGGATGAGAGAAAACTGACAAGAAGAAGAAACATAAAACCTATCTTCAGAGTGTTGGACTTGAAATCAAGAAGACCTGAGTTCAAATACTGCCTCAGATACTATCTTATGTGACCCTGAACAAATTACTCTCTTAGCCTCAGCATCTCATCAAATGCTTCATCAAATGGGGATAATAACAGCACCTACTTCACAGGGTTGTTGTGGGGATAGAATAAGATAATATTTATTTTTTAAAATTAATTTATTTTTAGTTTTCAACAATCACTTCCATAAGCTTTTGAGTTTTAAATTTTCTACCCTCTCTCCTCACCTCCCTCCCCAAGACAGCATGCAATCTGATGTAGGCTCTACAAACACTTTCCTATTAAACATATTTTCATATTAGTGATGTTGTAAAGAAGAATTATAACCAATAGGAGGAACCACAAGAAAGAAGAAACAAAACAAAACAGAAGAAAAAAAAGAGCAGATATTATGTTTTGATCTGCATTCAAACTCCATAGCTCTTTCTTTGGATGTGGATAGCATTTTCCATCATGAGACTTTTGGAGATGTCTTAGATCCTTGCATTGCTGAGAAGGGCTAAGTCTATCAAAGTTAGTCATTGCACAACGTGGCTGTTACTGTGTACAACGTTCTTCTGGTTCTGCTCACTTCACTCAGCATCAGTCCATACAAGTCTTTCCAGGTTTTTCTGAAGTCCACTTGCTCATCATTTCTTATAGCACAATAACAATTCCATTACATTCATATACCACAACTTGTTCAACCATTCCCCAGCTGATGGGCATACCCTCAATTCTCAACAAATAAGATAATATTTATAAAGCACTTTGCAAAACTTAAAAGGCTATATAAATGCTAGCTCAGAGGTGGAGAACCTGTGGCCACATGTAGTCTTCTAGGTCCTTGGGTATGGCCTTTTGACTGATTCCAAGTTTTACAGAACAAATCCTTTTACTAAGGGGATTTGTTATGTGAAGTTTGAATTCACTCAAAGGGCTGCATTTGAGGACCTAGAGGGCCACGTGTGGCCTTCAGGCCACACCCCTGTGCTAGCTCTTATTAATTTTTGAAGGTCTGTTATATTGGAAGAGGAATTGAGCTTAATCTATTTGGCCTCAAAGAGCAATGAATAGAAGCTGTAGAAAGACAGATTTGACCTTAATATAAGGAAAAACTTTCTGACAAGTAGTGCTACCCAAAGTGGAATGGGTTTCCTTAGCAGATCTCTATCTCTGGAGGTCTTAAAATAGAAGCTATGTGACCAATTGGCAGGGAGACTGAGGGGGATTTTTGCTGAGTTACAGGTTGGATTCATTGACCTCAGAAGGTTCTTCTGAGATTCTAAAGGACTCTAGTCTAGTAACAATGATTACAACAATTCAGTTCAGCAGACATTTATTAAGCATCTACTAGGCATGATCATCCTTCCAGTCATCTGGTTCGAGACCTTGGTATCATCCTCAATTTCTCACTCTCAATTACTCTACATATCTAATCAGTTGCCAGATCTTATTTCTATCTCCAAAACATTTCTTTAGCTGTGTGACCCTAGGCAAGTCACTTAACCTCAATTGCCTAAAAATTACAAAAGAAAAAAAAAAGAAAATTAAAAACACAACATTTCTTATACCTGTCTTCTTTCTGCTAACATTTTCATGACCTTAGGTCCTCATCACCACTTGCCTAGATTATCGCAATAACCTTCTAAGTGGCCTCTCTGACCATTTCCATTCTCTACATATTTGCAAAGTGATTTTTCTGAAGTTCAGGTCTGACTATGTCACTGTCATACTCAATAAACTCCAGTGACTATCTATTATCTCAAGGATCAAATATAAACTCCTCTGCTTGGCATTTAAGACACTTGGCCTTATCATACCTTTCCAAACTTATTATAAATGAATCTCCTTCGTGAATTGGAAGTCAAGTCAAACTGACCTTTATGTTTCTAACACATGGTACTCCATCTCCCATCTTTGTTCCTTTACACAAATGAGGTAGCTAGGTGGTGTCATAGTATACAGATCACAGCCTAGAGTCAGGAACACCTGAGGTCAAATCTAGCCTCAGACACTTATTAGCTGTGGGACCCTCGACAAGACTTTGAACCTCTCAGCCTCAGTTTCCTCAAGTCTAAAGTGGGTATAATAATAGCACCTAATTCCTAGGGTTGTTGAGAGCATCGAGTGAGATAGTAGTTGTAAAGTGCTTAGCATAGTGCCTGGCACATAGTAGGTACTTAATAAATGCTTCTTCCCTTCCTTTCTCTTTGCATTGGCTGTACCCTATACCTATAATGCCTCCTTACCACTGCCTATTAGAACCCTTAGTTTCCTTCAAGGCTGAACTCAAGCATCACTTTCTCTTGAAGTTCCAGCCGCCTCCCTCCCCTGCCCCTTTGCCCCATCTCCCCAGCTGCTATTGCCTGAATCATCTTCTATCTATCTATCTATCTATCTATCTATCTATCTATCTATCTATCT